AAACCGGGAGCGCTCGGTATGAGAGAGCTTCCTTCCCGCACAGCCTGCGCCTTAGCTCAGTGCTGCGGCCGTTCTACAGCTGTGTCAGCGCGTTTAATAACCAGGTACCTGTGAAACGGGAACGGGATCGGCCAAAGCGCCCGCACAGGGACCTGCTGAGCCGCGGGACCGAGCAGCTTGGTTTTCAGAACCACCCGAAACCGTACCGTAGTCATATTGCCATGGCTTTGAGCACAAATACGTGTCCAATCTAGCTAAGCACTAGCAGGACTGCAAGCAGCACACACTGAATGTTGGTACGATGATGTATAAGCATGATGAGATTCTATACAAGCAGGTATGTAAGGGACTACATCACAGGGCACCTCATTTTTCATTCTGAAGAACAGAAAATGATCCAGGATGTCCAGAAAATCTGAATGAAGGCCATTTCACTTAATTTCCCCACCTTCCCTAGAGAGGTTTTACTAATATTTCATTTAGCATTTGGCATAAGATAGCATTAATTATTTTAAGTTCTCAGTTTTGTGAAACTAAACTCTTACCTGCATACAGGTATCTCTGTCATCTCTGTATCGTAGGAGCTGGGCTGCTGGTTTGGATCTTGTAGTCAAACTGTAATAATTAAAAATTGTGTCAAGCACTGCCAAATTATACATAATTCATCAAAACTACTTGTGCTAATAACACAGTAAGAATAGGCATAGTTCCATGTACAGCTCAGGCAGTGGCTGGGCTTTAATCATCACTGGGACCTAATCTTTTTCTCTCTTGGGATGTGCAAATGGCATAGCTGTCCCCAAAAACTCAGAGCTATAGGAAGATCATTTCATACAAAGCAGATCCCAGCTCTGACCGTGCTGTGGGTTATAAGGTTGACATAACAGTGAAGGTAATCATGGGATGATACTTCTTTGTCATTTCCTTTGCTCTCCACATCAACCATGCAGATGTTTTCTGTGAACACAGTGCTAGTCAGAGGGGATGTCAATGCACATTAGGAGACTGAGGGGATGTGCAAACTATTAAATTCTATTCTCAATTTCTATGCAGATATGAAGTGCTACAAGGTGAGTTTATGATGCAATAATTGCCTGTTTCTCAAGACTGTAAATGAGCTAGCAGCATGAAAGAGGACATTTGACAAGCTCCAGAAAAGTCACTATATATTTTCATCTTAACATTTTCTATTATTTTTGCCCTTGCTTTTTTTTGTGTGTGTTTTTAAGGAGTAAATCAACCCTTTTCAAATTTGCAGCATGAGTCACTTTCTTTAGAAAGTAGGGCTTTGTGCATTACAAAAGCAAGTCTAACTCCTTTCCTTGCCTGTTCCCATAGTAACTCTTCTAGCTGATGCCTCTATGAAGACTATTCCAGCTAACACCAAACCCTTCAAATGCTGAACTACTCTGCAGTAATAAAGAGTATTTTAAAAGTTTATCAAACTCTTGAAAGCACAGAAAAGTACTAACTCTTGCAAAATGTGAAGCCTTGCAAGACCTCCTTTTATTCAAAGGCTATTTGATGTTGGTATATAGGAGCTGTAACAACGTTTAGCTGTGATGATATGTCACCACTGTGGTGTGAACATCACTCAGCTTCTTTGTAAAGCAGATAGAATGTGAGGGTGACCTTGTGGGATTTTTTCAGGCAGTGATGTTGCTGTAGAAACAACAGCAGACTATTCAGCGCTCAACACATGTCTCAGACATCTCAGCAACAGCAGGAGAATGGCCCATAGCATATTCCAGTTTTCATTTGTTCAGGGCCAGACTAGGGGAAACCATCTTGGCAAGCCAGAATATTCACGTGAAAAAAAAGAAAACTGAGAAGAAAAAATCCATGTAGCGTGAGGAGAATTTATTTACATGTAAAATGTAAATAAATCCTGAACGAAGAAATGGTAACCCTCCTCTCCTCCAGAATTTAATACAATATAATATTAGTTCTATAGATTTTGCTTAAAAGACTCACTGCAGTTTAGAGGAGTAGCTCTGGGAACTGTCATAGGTTGTTCTAGTTGCCCCTGTAATCACTAGAAGTAAGGAAGTTACTTATAAGGAAGTTCCCTGCAAATGTGTGTGTTGGCAGTTGATTGGCATCTGAAAAAAACTGAAGTTCTTATTCAGTTTGTCCTGCAATCAGGACAAATAATCTCTCCTCAGGAAGTTTTTATGCATGAGCTGCTTCAGAGCAGGCAGTATGCTGTCCTCTCTTCAGGCAAACAGCCTGTTTTCAGTGATTTCATTTTTAAAGATGGTAATACAAGGGCAAGGCAAATTTGAGTTCACTTATCTATTACATGTTCTCTTCCTAGCGTGCTCACTTTTCTCTACATCCTTGATTTCTGAAGCCCCGCAGAAAAATTACTCTCCTTTCTGCAACTTAATGCCACTGTTGTCTCAGCCTCTTGCATTGTACCTCTATCGAGGGATAACCAGAAAGAACTAGAGGTGGTGGTTTTAATCTTAAAAACCGGTTAATGCAGCATCACATGAACAATCACAGGCCAGATTTTGATGGAAGGAAAATATAGTGTTCAATTTGATCTTGAAATCTTCTTTCTTATTGGCCGCAGAAATAAGTAGGAATAACTATTTTTCAATCTGATTTCTTCTTGTAGTGGCTGGTAACTAGTACCAACATTGTCCACTTGGCTCTGTAGCTGTGAGGAATGGCTATGGAAGATCCTGAGAAGAAGACTGAAGTCGTGCTGCTGGCCTGTGGGTCTTTCAATCCCATTACCAACATGCATCTAAGGCTATTTGAGCTGGCTAAAGACTACTTTAATGAAACTGGTAGGATGGTAATTGATATCATTCACAACAGCTCTGATAACTAGACACTTAAATGTTAAGGTCAATATTTTGTGTATGTGAATACTTGTTTGAAAATGACAGATATTTTTGGCAATATTAATTAGATATTGAAGCTAGTATGTGTGTATATCATACAAAATCATCTAGGCCAAATACATGAGTCAGGTATGTTTTGCTTATTACTAATTTTAATGAGCTAAAGCATGAGTTTTATAGCTTTTCTTTATAGAAATGTATCTTTCTAATTTATCTTACTAAATCTTTAATTGTCCTGCCTTGCACAGTGGCAGAAGTGTACCGTACTTTTCCACTGGGCTGGCTGTCAGAGCTGGTGTTCTTAGAGATTGCAGTGAATAATGGTTATATAATAGTTTAAATACAATACAGTGGAAATAACATCTGCTCAACCACTTTTCATGTTCTTGTGTGATGTGTTTTTTTCCACAGGAAAATACAAAGTAATCAAAGGAATAATTTCACCAGTTGGTGATGCATATAAGAAGAAAGGTCTGATCAGTGCGGATCACCGAGTAACTATGGCAAAACTAGCTACAAAAAACTCAGATTGGGTGGAGGTTGATGATTGGGAAAGCAGCCAGAGTGAGTGGTTGGAAACACTAAAAGTTTTAAGGTATTCCTCAGCCAAACCCTAAAAAGTTTCAAGAACCTATAGAAGGATAAGGAATGGTGTTAGCTCTAACAAGTCAGAATAACAGCAGGCTAACCCCAAATCATACGAATAGATTCAGTGAAGTCAGAAGTCATACTATTTATATGAGCATTGGAAATGAAAGATTGCACCATTAGTCCTAAATGCACAAAAAAATCAGCCTGTGAACAATTTTCAAGATATATTGTTTCTCAGGCTTAATTAAATTTTTGTGCTGGAAAGGTATTTGTGAGCAAGGACAAGAGACTAGAATAGGGTAGACACAGGCTATACAAGCTTCCCTCAGTTGGTTCCGATTGTGCTGTGCTGCCCAGTTGTGCATTTAAAGGCTGGCATGAGAATTGTCTGAAGGACTATCTCTTTTTTTTAAGTTTTACATTTTTTACTCGCTCAGTCACTGCTACTTCACTGAAGTTCTTCTTTTAAAAATGAATTTTTATTAAAAAAGAAACAAACCAACCTTGTAGTTGTTGCTTTGAAACTTTTGCACTTTGACCATCTTATGACCCAGCTCTCACAAGTCCCTGTTCCAGCAGATCAGTTCTTGAATGGATTCATCCTGGTACTGCAGGATGAAGTGGTGATAGGTTATTTAGTAGACCATACTCTTCCCTATATTCTTCTGTATCTTTAAAATACCTAAAATACATCTGTTTTGCAGGTACCATCATCAAAAGCTTTTATCTCCTGATCCCACTAACAGTCTGCAGAATGCTATACCTTTAACAAAGCCAGGACGGAAGAGGAAACAGGAACCAAATAGGCATGATCCCATTAAAAAGAAAAATCAGAGTCAAGATATAAAAAGTTAAGTCTGTTTGCAAATTAAACGCTAACAATATTTGCTATTTCAAAGGAACTGCGCTGATGAGTAACTTTTTTTTATGCTAGTTCTTGGTTCTGATTTCACTGAATAAGTTTATTTCCTGAGATCCCACAGCATAAAGCAGTAGGCTTTGTAACAAGACAATTGTAAGGGTAAAATATAGAGGACATAAATACTCGAGATAATACAAGTTTTAACTGAAAAAGGTTGGAGCTGTCTATTTCAGCTACAGAACTTTGCTAATCTGTAGTTACAGCTGAGAATTTTGGATCATATTGTAAGTCGCTGAAGAAAGAAAGGACAGGATTAAGCCCTGAAATTCAAAATGTATCTGGGTACAGGATCATTTTAAATTGTAATTTAAAACTTCATACAAGAGACATAGCTTGGCTTTGTAATTTTAGGTAGCATTTATTTTGCTTATTGCTTTTAGATCTTAATTTTATTTCTTTAGCTTTACATGTACAATTTTATGTAGTCATATAGACTTTGAATGGCCTTGCACAATGACCATCTCAATCTTTTATATTAGCAAATCTTGACTTCTGCCTGACTTCTTCCCTTGAACCTTTCCAAATTCTACTGTTTAATTTATAGTGTTTTAAAGTAAATGTAGCCAAAAGAGCAAGACCATCAGGCAGGCTTTTTTCATATTGTGTTGACAGATGTTTTACTACATCCTTAATACCCTGTGACACTACTCGAAGCTGCAGACCTGTGGCACTCTCAATTTTGCTTCCATTACTTGAAGCTGGTTTCTATCTGCATGCTTCTCTAGATTAACCATAAAACATGGAAGAGAATATCCTGAGGTCAGGCCACACAGTCTGTGGGGGTTGTTTTCAGTCATATTTTCATTCCTTTTACATAATCCCCTCTACCTCCTGTCCCACAAAAGCTAGCTCCTCTTCTGTAACTCTATGGAATGTCAGATGAAGTTATAGCAGTGCAGTAGCCTTTCATACTTAGCTATTCTGGAATTTTCTCCATATTTTCTTTTACTTTGATCCTCACAGTGATTGATTCACCCCAAGGCTAAATGAGCACATTAGAGTTTATTTTCCAGTCCTTTTGAATGGACTCCCATAACCTTTTTTCAGAAAAATCCTGTATTGAGGCTACTAATTATAAATCATATGCTCTGAATCTTTTTTTATTTCATTCCATTGTCTCATCTTAACCAAAGTTAGAGAGAGGTAGCCTAGAAATTAAATGTCCCCATCAAGTTAGCTAAAATCTGGTGGCCTAAACCAAGTCCTGTTTCTCACTTATTTTTCCTTCTAAGGTGTCCCACAAGTTAAACTGCTCTGTGGAAGTGACATGCTGGAATCTTTTGGGATCCCCAATCTGTGGAAATTGGAGGACATCACTGAAATTGTGGAAAATCATGGCCTTGTATGCATCAGTAGAGCTGGAAACAACGTTCAGAAATTCATCTATGAATCTGATATTTTGTGGAGACATAAGAATAACATTCACCTTGTGGAAGAATGGATCACAAATGACATTTCCTCCACCAAGATTAGGAGAGCACTGCGGAGGGGCCAGAGCATTCGTTACCTAGTGCCTGATGTAGTTCAAGCATACATAGAAAAAAATAATCTGTATAGTCCAGAGAGTGAAGACAGGAATGCTGGGGTTGTCTTGGCTCCCTTACAGAAACATGCAACTGATTCCAAGAACTAACAAGCACTATAGAAATAACTTACTTTCTGCTGTGAAAAAGCTACAGTTCAGTACAGGAAAATGTGGTTTTTAGGGGTTGGGTTTTTGTTTCATTCTTTTTAAGTAAATAGTGGGCTACTTCTGTGGCTTTAGTACATACATAGTTGCTATTGAGGTTTGGTGCACTCAATAATTGGACCTACACAATCTTTTATAAATCCAATAATAAGATTGTCACATTTAAACATTTTGTCACAGTGCAGTGAACTAAATATAAGAATTCACACTTGCATATGAGAATTACAAATTAACAAACAAAAATTAAAATGTTCTGATTAGTTTTAACTCAGACTGTTCTGGCTATTTGTAAAATAGTAGCACAGATATTTTTAATAACTTATGGTGTCTTAACAAAGACATTTAATTTCAAAATGTACCACTTACTGATTGTAAATCTATATAACTTATTTTTTTAAAAAATTGCCAATGTGGTGCACCTCAAATAAACTATTGAGCTCTATCCTGCAAGGGAAAACTTTACTCCTGGCTGAAGTGGTGCTAGATATAGCGTGCTTAGATTTGCCTGCTGTTCAAATGTGCATCCTATTCATCTGCTGTCATGCAATCTGCTCCCAGAAATGCCTTGTGCTTTACTTTTCCACTCATGTTTCCAGGGCTCTTTGTTAAGCTCAGCATTTCTTCTCGTGGAAGGCCAGACTTACTTCAGAAACTGGTTTATAGCCATTGATTTAATCAATAGAAATTAATAATAGTATCATTGCACTGATTCTCAGACAGTTGTCCCTTTATTTCAAATAATAAGTGAGCTTTTACTTTTGAGCCAAATGTACATAGACAGAATTGTTTTCTGTAACTGGAGTTGAGAAGAAACAGTAGGAGATTAAGACTGTACATAAGTGAAATGTTTTTCTTTGGTAGAAATCTAGTTTTGAATCTAACAGTATATTGTCTGTATTATGTGAATATAAACTAAAGAGGCACTGTGAATGTCATGGTGATAGAATTCTACCTCCCTTTATTTGCTGTCATCCCATTTTTGTTTGGATTATGTGCCTTATTAAAAATGTCAAGGTTTCCAAGATGCTACATAATGGGTCAACAGCTTTTTCATACCATCTCCACAAGATGACTCTGTTCACATTTTTCAGATGAACAAATCCAGCAGAACGTCAGACTCTCCAGACAGGAAGCCTAGATGCTGTTGGGCAAGTCTAGAACCAGGGACATGTTCCAGGATCATAACTGTGACAACACTTCATCCTCCTTCCCTGGGCAGGGGACTCCCAAATTGTTGAGGCAGAGGTCTAAGCTTCCCTAGGAACTCAGGAGGAGTCTGAAAGCCAGAAGCCAAACACAGAACATCATGGGTGGCCCTAGGGCCTGCAAGGGTCATACAAAACCGAGCAGAACAGTCGAGACACTATTGGGAAAACCTGTAACCCACAGTGGAGCTAGCATTGGGCATGCAGACTTAAAGCCCCACGTGAAACTCTGCAATTACCGTACACCAGAACATCTGTGTTTTACAAGTTCCAGCCTGTAAAAGTCACTGTCTACAGAGAATCTACAAGGAAATTAATGTAATAAAATCAAGTCACAACTTAGAAGTGCATCTGTAACTGCACTGTGACACAAAGTAGCATCAAGGATTCTTAGGGTTTTTTTTCTTGGTGATTTCTGTGTCAAACATGCTCAGTCTGCCATTTTTCCCCCTAGAGCTCAGGCAAGCTGACACTGCCCTTTGATAATGAGGCTGGGTTTATTTATCATCAGTAGTAATAAAGGTATTGAAGGATAAATTATGCCCCCTGTGACACCTTAGCAATCAAACTGCCATAACTGATTGAAGATAATTATACTATCGATGGTGCATAGGAAAGGACAAGATCTACTTTTCTCTTTTGATGACTGTCTGTCTTTATGACTGACAAGAATAGAGGGCAAGAAAGATTTATTTTCAGTGCCGAAGTCAACCAGTGTGCTTCTGAATAAACAGAGCAGATCTTTCTAATGGGAAAGCACCCTATTTATGTGGTCACTTTTCAGAGTAAAACTGCACTTTAAGTCTAGGTTTATTCTTCTGAATAATTACTCTGGTGTGTGTTGGGGCACTCTGTGTAATTCTAGAGAAACTAAAAATTCCATAGGACGTTTTATAAAGCTTTGGTCTTCAGTTATATTTCACTGGGTTTTAATGTAGTTATGTGATGGGTCTTTCAATAAAATAAATTGCATGTAATATGCTAATTTTAGTCATGCTCTTATTAACCAAACCCGATATCTGATGACTGCACGATTTTTAATTAGGTAGAATTATGTCAGTACACTTTTGCCTACACAAAACAGGACATTGTTCAAAAATTACACTGATTGCTGAGTATGGTTCTTTTGTTTTACTAGTGGGATCCAGAAACCTGCCTGTTTCAACACCAGAAGTAAGCACACACTGACAATCTACTGTTCCAATCAGTTATAAATACCAGCATCACAGTGAAGTGGCCTATTCAAAAATGTTAGACATGTTTTTATATATTTCATATATAACTTTCAAGAGTGGACTAGATCTGAAAGAGAATCTATATACTTGAAAATGTAAGGTTTGTGAATAATGTGGTTCAGTGAACTTTATAAAAGAGTTATAATGGATTCACAGATGTTCTACAATCAAAAATGAGGCTTTTTTTTTTAACATCACCACATTTGGTTCTGTTCTATTAAGAGGACATAGGGCCTTTACACCACACACGTAATTCAGACTCGAAATATTTTATATAAATACTGCAACAGCAGCAGGAACCACTTCATCTGCTTCTGTAATGAGGCCACATCCTTAATGGAATGTGTTAGATGCTCAATGCTGCATGGCAATTAAAATGGAAATGGAAAAGAAATTATTTCCACAAAAATAAAATTGGGAATTTGTGAAAAAGAAAGACATGAACCGTCACAGGATGTGGCCAGGGCACTCAGCTGTTCTTACAAAAGGTTCCATAGGCAATCCTTTAGCTGAGCCTTGAAATAATATTCATAAGTCTTAGTTTAAGTACAGATTTACAGAAAGAAGCATCACATCTCAGTCTGCATAATCTTAATTTTCATTTTAAATGTTAAATTCAGGCTTTTACACAGGACTTACCCAAGTACTGACTCCTCTTTACTTGGAAGAGTCAGTAGTATTGCAACAGTGCTTTACTACCATAACCTTGTGGTAACAAATTATGGGTGAAATGTTACTATTTGAGTCCAGGGGAAGCATTAATTTGCATTTCCCTGTGGCATTCCTAGTTTAGTATAGGATAGAGAACAATATCCATCTGCAAACAGGAAACAAGCTTTGACGTCCTAACTTCCTACTGGCATGATTCTGAGTCATATAGGTCAAACTGTCAGCTCCAAAAATGTAGCTAAAGTTCAGAGAAACTTAATTTTCTCTCCAAAATATTATCTTTTTATTCAGCCTAACCCAAGCCAATAAATAGATAAAGGTAGTAGCTATAGGTGAGTTTCCTCATTCAAGAGTCAGAATATCAAATTCCCTTTTTACTATGGTAGCAATACAGTTAAGATTTCCCTTGCCCATCAATTTGGGGTTTTTCTTTTAATGTACTATTCACTCCAGACATAAACCAACAAGATATAATACTTATCTCTATTACTGTGTCATAAGTACTGCTTTAAAATTTGCTGATACAACACCATCCACAGTTTAACAGTCAGTCCCTGTCTGTTCAAATACAGCACGTATTTACAGCACCTTTTCAACAAATCTGTAGATTTTAGATCATAAAGCCATAGATCTAATATACATGCAGGGAATTTTAGTAATGACAGTAATCTGTCCATGATTCCTTTTAAAGTATACAAGATGGACACAAATGGTTTAAACCAGTTTTTGGTTTAACTCTTGGGCTATTAACATTTGCTCCACACACAGATTTCAGAAACTGTGAACTTTTCCCTCCAACACAGCTGAAGCTGCTGCACAGATACCCTCTCACCTATTGGCTCAGCAATAGTACCCTTCCCTTCCATCTGGGATGGAGGCTCTGGGATGTCATCCCACCCACAGGCTTCTTTATATAAGGCTTGGATGGAAAACTACTTCTTCATTTTGCTTTTTGGTCAGAGGTTGACTGTATCTTCTTTTCCACAGTCTGACAATGCCTGTGGATTTCAGTGGAACCTGGAACCTTATCAGCAATGACAACTTTGAAGGTTATATGGTGGCCTTAGGTAGGTGAAAATACCTGATTCTATCCTTCCTCCTTTCCCCATAAGGGTCCTTCTGAATTTTAAGAGTCTAATGTCTTCTAAAACCTAGATATTGATGATGTTTTTTTTCTCTGAAAAACAATGGAAAGATCTTTGTTTATTGATAAACAGACAGCATTAACTATCCTTCAGCCTGTCACCCCAGTGTCCTTGCAGCTTGCAGGAATTCCTCAGCCTAGTACTTGTTAAAAGTAGAATTTTTGTATAGCTTTTAGCAGAGACAGGGAAAAGATTGCCCTGTCCACTTAATTTCTCTTGCTTTTGAGCACAAACTTACAGAACTTATGTATAAGGTTAATTAAATATTAAGTAACAAAAAGAAGTTTACTTGGGTGTTTGCCACTTCAGACAGTTGTTTAGCTTAGTGTCATTTATCTCTAAACAGCTACAAAATACTTCTCTCATTACTGTGACTTGCTGTTAAGTCTCTTTGTCACTTTTCTGGAGTGCCTGAAGGGTATAGGGTGAAAAGATTTCTCGTCAATTCACATAATGCCTCTCCTCTGATAAAGTATGAGAATAGGCATTAAGTATTCCTTCTAGCTAAGCAGGGGGGTAAGTCTGAGACCAAGCTTGGGGTGTTGGTGTGGGGAGAAACCTACTCCCCCACTTCCAAAAGGACTCTTCTAACTCAAAGTCCTCTTCTGACTCAAAGTCCTAGAAATCCTGCATAGGAATTGTGCAACAATTGAGTAAACTGGTTTCCAAAGAGTAAAATGTACAAGAAC